GCAGGCTTTGAAACTTGTGATCCTCCTGCTTCAGCTTCCTGCTTGAATTACAGGTGTGCACCACCCCACTGTGCCTGACAGGATGCTAATGTTTGACTTTTGAGAACTATTTAATAGAATATCAGTTGAGCCTTTTAAGATCCCAGAACCAAAATTGAGTGCCACAACTAATTGACAGTAATCCTAGAGTCAATCATTTAGTGAGTCCTCATTTATAAAATGGTCTTCTGGTTTCACAAAGTTGCTATGAAAACAAAACAAAATGAATATGAAACTTTTTGAATAATGCATGATGTGTATTTTTGAGAGAAAGGTATTAAAAAGCATAATCTGAATGAAGATTGTCTCTAAACTTTTGTCTACACCTAACAAAAGGCATTTCAATGACTAAAATAATGTCTGCCCTTTGTTGCTTGACTTAAGATTTATCCATCTCACTTCATTCTCTTGAAATGACTTATTTTAGGGAGTAGCCTTTTTATTGCTCTTTAAACAGATCATTCATTGTAAGCAGATTCTTAAATTGTTTTAAACTCAGGAATCTCTGAGCTAGCTTATATCCATGTAAGCTAGTTCCACACCACTTGGAATGACTTGCCAAGTGTTTTGAGGGAAGGACTCTCAAGGTAAAATGTATGTATTTTAAGTTTGTTTCCCAAATTGGATCTCCCAGTCTCCTTGCTGCTCAGCACTATGAACCTTGGTAAAAGTCAAGATTTTTTAAAACCTTTTTGTCAAGTCCATTTTAAAAACAAGTTAGGGCTGAGATGTAGCTCAGTGGCAAAGTGTCTGCCTTGCATTCGCAAAGCCCTGGGTTCAACCCCCATTTCCAGAAAAGACAAAAAAAAAAAAAAAAAAACCTTTTGGGCTGGCGGTGTAGCTCAGTGATAGAGTGCCTACCTTGTACATGTGAGGCACTGGGTTCAATCCTCAGTACCACGTAAAAATAAATAAATGATATTGTGTCCATCTATAACTAATTTTTTAAAAAAGCTAAAAAATCTGTTAACTCTGAATTATCCTGAAAAATTTATCCTGAAAAGCAGCATGTAGTGAAGATCAATATTTACAAGAATATTTGTCAACAGGAATTGGTCAAATTAGGCTATCTCCATAGAAGCAAATGCTGTACAGCAATAAAAAATGATAATGAAGTTGAGAAGAAAAGATTACAAAACAATATATATGTTATAATTCCTTTTTTTAAAAGTTGTTGGTGGACATTTATTTTATTCATTTCTTTATATGAGGTGCTGAGGATTGAACCCAGTGCCTCACACATGCTAGGCAAATGCTCTACCAGTGAACCACATGATTCCCTTTTTTAAACCAAAAAGATTTTAGATTTCTTTTTCTTATTTCCTTATTCCTTTTCTGTACTTACTAATTTTAAAAAGTAAGCCTATAATATTAGAAAAGGGCAGTAATGCCAATTTTCATTTTGAAAAAACCCAAAGAAAATTTGAGAAGAAATAGTGTTAAAATTGCATCCCCAAAATGTGTTTGATTGTAAAAGCTCCACAAGAGGTTATGGACAAAATGAATCACACATTTCCTCACTCCCATATCCAATATGAAATTTTAGAACTATATTGCCTTTTTCTTAAAACTAGCTGTGAGCCTTACTCAGGCAATAGAAGACATGTAATATGCTGGGAAGCTGTTCAGGGAAGTAAAGTAGGTTAAAGTTACATGTCAGTGCCATTTTAAAGGAGTGCATGTTCCACCTTGCTGGGCAGGGATGAACTAGTGTGTATTCAGTGTGACCATACTCTCTATGCGGATTAAATGCAAAGACTCTAAAAGGACTTTGTAAAATAAAAAGCTCTATTCCGATCCTAATCATTTTTTAAACCTCTCAAAGGACAACAGGATAATCTGTCAGAAAATAGTTTCCTGCTCTCTCACCTCCATTAACAAAATCAATATGTGAGATCAAGGAAATGAGAACACGTAGGTGTTCAGTAAACATTAAAGCAGTTAATCTTAAATCAGTCATTAGTAACCCGGAAGTGCTATGTGGGCCTCAGTGATGTTTGACAAATAGTTTTCAGCCACAATAGGTAGTAATTCCTAGATTTAACTTAATCTAAATCTCATAAAGGATACATAGCTCCTCAAGTTGTCCAGATGGAAAGAAAAATAAGTCTATTAAACACAGTGTACATAAACATATGTTACTTCTTTTGTCTTTAACTCACAAATATCCAGAATATGGGGGCTAACTTGATCCTAGTCTGATATCCCGCTCTCACTCTTATCAAGGATGGGTCACAATACATCACATCATACTATGATCTCTATATAGAGAACAGCAAACATTTAGAAATATTGCTGTTATAAATAGGAATTTAATTCATTCTGAAATTTAGAGTTTATTAGTCCCTATTTTATAATTATATCCTTTGACCAAACTTTTTTTTTTTTTTTGTAAGCTGCTTTTCTAAAAGCTTATGATTTTCAGAGAAAAAAACTAACAGATGTTGGAATAATGTTCATGTTGGAATAATGATCATGGAGAAGTAAATGGTGAATAGCAGAGATGTCATCAGTTAAAAGTAATGTGGCTTTATGACCTTATTTTGAAAATGACAGGGGTGCTAAAGACATCTTGAGTACTGAGAAGACTGGATTTGAATGAAGTGTCTCTGATAGCTTTCCATCACTGTGACAAAATACCTGAGATTAATCAATTTATAAGGAGGAAAGGATTATTGTAGCTCTCAGTTTCGGAGGTTCAGACTGTTTGGTTCATTGCTCGTGTGCTGTGGCAAGGCAGTACATCATTGTGGAAGAATATAGTGGAGGAAGCTGCTTATCTCCTGGTGACCAGGAAGCAGAGCAGGAAAGAGGCAGGTGTCCCAGTGGCCCCTTCAAGGACCCTACCTAGTGAAAAACTAACTTCCTTCCACTAGGCCCCACCTCTTAAACATTCTAGCACCCTCCATTAGCATGATAGGCCTGCAGCCAAACCTTTAGCATTTGGGCATTTGGGAAACGCCTATCCAAACAATGGCATTCTCTTCTAGACCTTTAGTTCAATGTATGTTGTGGACCAGAATGTCACATGTCAGTCAACACAAGCCATTTGACTTTAGTGCAGCCCTTGTCCTTCCTTTAGGAAATAAACCTTATTAGAATTCCTCCCTCATTACTCCAAGTTACCTAATTCCCTCTCCCAGTTATTGTATTACTATCAAATCTCAAACATTCTATAAAGATGTTTGCACAGTGGGCTTCACAATCAAATTCATCATAAGACAGGTATTTATGATTGATTTCCTCCAAAAATGAAACATAATTTTAGCAATAAAAGATATAGTCTCAATCTGGGAACAGTGGCACACATCTGCAGTCCTGGCTACTAGGGAGACTAAGACAAGAGGACCACAAGTTTGAGCAGGTTGCAAGACCCTGCCTCAAAATACTTTAAAAAGGTCCAGGGATGTAGCTTAGTGGTAGAGCAACCTTGAGTTTAATCCTTGGTAATCCCCCCACTTCATACACACACACACACACAAAAGGTATTGTCCCTAAAGGTTGCAAAGTTTTCAGGATACCAGAGCACTTTAGAAACGGAAAGGCCATATAAAATACTTTCAATTTCAAAGTAGGTCATGTTTTTTTCATCTAGTGCTTTAAGTTTAGCAGCAGAATCCTTACAATATGTGAATTTAGACCTTGGGGAGAAATGTTTTCTGTTGCTGGGAATAATATGTTTGTTTATAAGCATAATGCTTGCAGCCTTCTATTTATTTTTAATATACAGAACACAGTTCAGGCTTTTTAGCTCAGTACTACTGTATTTTAATACTGATTTAAGTATTATTAAATAAATAGAAATTCTGTTTAGACATTTTTCTAGTGACATTTATATAAAATGTATAGTAATTGAGGAGATTTCATTATACTAAATAACTCATAGGTGCAATTGAAGCAAATTTTTGGCATGACCCACAGGATGGAGCAGGCTGTATCCTTCTGGGCTTAAAAAGAAATTTGAAGAATGAGACCATTTGTATCATCACAATCTATAAGGTAGTCACTAATGAGTGCCCCTTAAATATAAAAGTGTAAGGAAGCTTTAAAGGTTATCTGGACTTGAGTTCACAAAAATGAACAGATCTCAGAACAGAGCTTTCCTGGACCATGCTTTCCAAATCAAAGATAAGAAAAAAATCTATTTTAAATACCAACTGGCTTTATATAACAAGACAATTTTCTAGTCCCAATATCTTCTGCAAACTTGTTTGATAGTAACTAGTAGTTCATGGCAAACATTCTAAAATGCAGTGGTTGAATACCTAAGTGTGGACATAACATTCATTCATTCTGATTCAGAGGTCCCAAAGCAGGGTTTTTTGCTGCAATTGGAATCTGTACTTAGTCATTCTAATCTCATTGAAACATCCCTTAAATCATTTTGCAATGGGGAACCTAAACTGTTACTGCATTTTTGTTTTGTTTGTTTATTTTTTAATGTATTTTTTAGGTGTGAATGGACACAACATAATGCCTTTATTTTTATGTGGTGCTGAGGATCGAACCCGGGTCCCAGCTGTGCTAGGCGAGTGCTATACCACTGAGCCACAATCCCAGCCCCTGTTACTGCATGTTTAAAGATTAAGAATTTGATTATTCTGTTCAAATTGTGACTGAACATAATTATGAAAAACAAAAATAAGAGTCAAGAGAGAGCTGAGTGTTATACCACTTGCCCTACAGCACAATGTTGGGTTTGATCCCCAGTGGATCAAAAATTAATTAAATTAAAAGGTGTATATATCTTTCTCGGCTGATAATGTCATTGACTAAAAGTTAAGAATTGCTTTGTATGTCTCCCCAGGCTGAGTTCCTGATATCCCTTTGTGTCTACAATATATCTCTTTTACATATTATAACTAAAATTGTTTAAGTCATCTCTTATTGGTGTGCTGTGTAGTGCTTGTAGTGGTTTGTAGATTCGATTTGAGGGAGTCTGTTTTGTAATCTTTTCCTAGGTACACTGATGCCAAAGGACTATGACCTTTCAGAACTTCTTGAGAGACTACAAAGTTCTGATTGTCATGGTACCTTTAATTGGGCTTATACATTTGGGGTGGCACAAAATCAAAAGCAGCCCTGTCTTCCAAGTACCTAATAAGGACAACATTCCTGAGCCCGATAATCTAGCACTCACAAGTCCACCGAAGAGCCAAATCCAAGGGAAATAGTAGGCTTGCAGCTTGCAGGTAAGTTTCCTTTAATCTGGTCAATCATACTGTATGTTCCAATATGGGAAACTTGATTTTATAGAGCACTGGCAAGAAAAAAGCCAAATTCACAAGTGAGCTGTTGCTTTTATCATGACCCACATTCTTCTTTTTTCCAAGACAAAATGAGTTGTTTCATTCCTTAGCATCTATTATTTTAGCTTTAAAATAATTTGTTCCTTTTGAGTTACTAAAATTAAAAGAATGTAGTTAATTAATTCAGAGCTATGGTCCCTCATTCATAATTCCAAAATCCAAGTAGTTCTAAAAACCAAAATGTCTGTCCTAACTTGTTTGACCATAAAACTTGATTTTAATTGACATCAGGTAATTTATAGTGTTTACCTCATTTAAAATGAAATTTTTAATTTCACTGCAGAAATGTTATGTTTGATTATGAGTGTCGTATTACATCATAGTCATTGACTATGGACATGTACTGACTTTTTGATTATAGATGTTTATACAACATTATATTCGTAAAATCCAAGAAATTCTGAACTGTGAAACTCACCTGGCCTTAAGGGATCCAGGTAAAGAAATGTGACCCTATAATTGTAAAATATTTTCCATTTTAATACACTTTTTGGATTTTGAGGTAGGGATCATTCTTTAAATTTTGGCATAAGGTAGGTCATTTTAAGGTTTTGCTCCTTAATACAAGCAGAACCTTGATCCAGTTTTCTTAATTTATAAGAGGTGTGAAATTTTGACTTGTGATAAGACTATGATATAATTACTGGTTGCAACATTATATTAAATCAAGATTTTATTTTTAAATATTCATAAGGAAAAATGGGAAAGTGTGGTTTAAAATATTAGATACTTATTTAATGTAAAAAGTGAACTTAAAAGAATAACCCTCAGATATTCCTTGTAAAATTTTCTTTTTGTAGGAGGAATTTTAAAGGGTATGAGCAGAGAGTTACAGCATTTATTAGATGCTTCATTTTTATGTATAAGGTCATGAGAACATGATAGTGTATGTATGTTGTAGTTGATGTTTTTCCCTGTAACTCACATCATAAGAGCATAAGGGCCAAAGTCAAACATTGTGAGGGGGATTTCCTTGTGCAAAAAGAAATATGAGGAATATGAGTTAAGGTATTCTTGGAGGAAAAATAAAGTTGAAAAAAGAAAGTATCTCCTTTAAAAGATTAGGCAAATACAGTAAAAGCTTTAAATGTCAATGCAGCAATAGTTAGGATAGTCTTAGAAGTGAATACCACTGGTCAGGCAAATGGAAGCAGATATTTAAACAGGCTTTGGGTAAGCAAAAGTTAAAACCAGATTTTAGAGTGGATTAAACACTTGATTCCAAATAGTTTTTGAAGTACATCAAAAGAATATACTATATTTTTTCCCTTTTTATTTTTACTTTTATTATAGAAAATTATAAACAGACCTAAAAATAAAAGATAGAATACTGAACCCTCAAGTGGCCATCACCCATCTCTGACACTTTCCTGCACTTTGCCAATCTTTTATTCATCCTTTCAGTTTTTTTAATTGCTAAAATATTTTATAGCAACTCCCAAGCACCACTGTGTAGCTCTTCAGTATACATCCTTTAACAGTAATAGCAAACACATGTATAAACATACAACTACATTTGCATTATCACACTGAGAAAATTGTCAATAATTCCTTACTTTAACTTGATACCCAGAGCCATGTTTATATTTATGTATTTGTCTTTAAAAATATATTGGAATTCATATCCAAACAAGATCCACATATACTGCATTTGATAAATAATATCTCTTTCAAAACTATTAAATATCCCCTGCTGGTCTACTTTTTAAAAAACATTCTGAATTTGGTCAGTTGCACTTTTTTTGTTTGTTTGTTTGTTTTGTCATTTAACGAATTCCTCTCTCCCCTGATTTTCTGTAATCTGGAAGTTAAATGAAAAGGTTTACTTGAAATTGGCCTAATTTTTTAAAAATAAGAAGACTCCATGGATAGGATATATCTCCTAGGTATTCATGTTGTTTCACATATAACATCTGGTCCAATTTTGGTGTTGCTAACATTAATAAGTAAGTTATCAGTCTAATCTCTCCATTATAAAGTTCTTCATTAGTCCCTTACTTAATAAATTATTAACATCTCTTGGTGATCACTGCACTAATCTTGGAATTGGTATACTTTTCTGTAAAAGGACCAAATAGTTTGCCTTGCAAACCATATAATCTCTGTTCCAACCACTCAACTTTCTGTTGTAGCATATAAAAGAATTTATATACAATGTGTGATAAGCCTGATTGCATTCTAATAGAACTTTATTTACAAAAACAGGCAACAGGCTGCCTGTGATTCCTGGACTTAATTAACCAGCCAGTGTGATGACATAATCCATTATTTCATTGGGGGTACCAAATTCTTTATCATTCCTTCTATAATTTATTAGGTAAAACAACTTCCTCTCAACTACTTGGTTACCACAAAATACATTTATACAGAAAAGACAAAAATAAATGCTCTATTTCCCTTTATTGAGTTTTAAAATAATGAGTTAGTGCTCTAGTAGCTTAGGGATTTTGTTTTGGATGTCAGTATGAATTTGTGAGTTTACATATATTTCACTTATCTCATTCCATTACAGCCACCATTTTGTTTAGTGCTCAAATTGTCCCATCTTGGATTCTGTCCAAGTTGACTCCTACAACTTATTTTTTCCCTGTGACCTTTTGATATAACCCAGGGAGTCTTTGATAACATCCTTAGTTTTTGACAGAAAACTTGTAGTAGCTCAATTTGTGTATTTCTTGCTTCAGACCTAAAATCAGCCATTTTTCTAAAGAACCCTAAATCCTTTTAGGAGAAACTTTTTACCTGTTTTTATTTCTTTAAATCATATTGGGTATATTATATATGGTATATTATCTCTTAATTTGGAAAGCAGTCATGTAAGTTTTACTGTTATTTTAGCTAAGTATCCATTGTTGAAAAACAATTTAAAAAATCATCTGCCAGCCCTGTGCATTTAGGAACAATCAAAACCATGCCTCTGATGGTAATTTAGAATTATGGGTCACATAAGAGATTCTTAGCCAGGCGTGATGGTACATACCTATAATCCCAGCTGTTCATATGGTTGAGACGGGAGGATCTCAAGTTCAAGGCCAGCCTCAGCAATTTAGTAAGACCCTGTCTCAAAAAAGGCTGGGGATGTAGCTCAGTGATAAATGACCATGGTTTCAGTCCCCAGTGTCACCCAAAAAAAAGTTTTAATAGGACTGAACTGACACCTCCAAACATATTCTCCAAACCAGCCCCAATATTGTTTCATTTCTTTTTCTTAATTTGTTGAGATGTAAACGAGTGACCATGAATAAGTAAGTTTTTACCTCTTCAAAATGATTTGGGTGTCACCAACACTTTCAGTGATTTCTTCCCTTTTCAGTTTGTACAGATACTAGCCGCCATAAGACTTGATTACTGGTCCCCTTACCTTAGGACTGTTAAAAGTTGCCAATGTGGCATTCTACTTTGAAAAGTAATGTGTTGTTATACATTGAAAAACTTTTCTAACTAGAAAAATTATTTTATTAGTCAAAGTTTGTATTATTGTTTATATATGTATAAATTTTAAAACGTGCAAATTACCATATATACCTAAGGTTTCATTAAGTGTGTTTCTCAGATTTTTCTGAATCTGAAATTATACTTCAATATCTTGACTGTTCCTGGCATAAAATACAAAATTTTTGTTTTTGTTTTTTTCCTTCCTCATGCTATTTTTTTTAAAGTTCCTTTAGGTTAGGAATAAAGCTGGCGATAGTTGCCTTCTTTATTTGAGCCCCGTTGCCATGGTTACAGCCCTTTAACTAAATTGAGAGCAGTAACCAAAATAGCAGTTTGCATAACATTCCCTCTTCTCCTCACCTCTTTGCATGTCCTCAGATCACCATTTTGGTCTATATCACCATACTGTGCCATAATCTACCTTAAGAAATACTTTGGGATGAGTAGTTAGTTTTATTAATGGTGAGTACTCTTCACAAAGCTGCATATTTTGTATATTTCGGAAAGTAACTAATTATAGTCTAAACCTTCAAAACACCAGTCCTCGAAAGGTTAAGGCTTGTGATCTGAGATTTTTGTTCTTTTCACACATTGTGATTAAGGTGTCAGGATTTTATCTCTCAAGTACACTATTTATCACCTTCTTAGGTCATTTATTACTGTATTTCTTCTTGTCCACTTGGTATATGATAACACTTTATGGTATGTAGACTTTTTGAGATAAAAGTTGTAAATCAGATCCTACTTTTCTCTTTGTTACTTTGCCTGTTCCTTAGTTTTTGTATTTATTGTCATTAGCCAGCATTTTGGTAATAATTAGTTGGTTAGAACATCAAAAACTGAAAATCAGTGATTGGTAGAGTGTATCTATAAAAAAAAAATCAGCTCTGGAGGCTGGGGTTGTGGCTCAGTAGAGCACTCGCATAGCACGTGCGAGGCCCTGGGTTCGATCCTCAGCACCACATAAAAATAAATAAAATAATGGTATTGTGTCCAACTACAACTAAAGATACAGATATTTTTTAAAAATCAGCTCTGATTTTAGCCAATATTTAAGATATGATATATACATTGATATAGTATGTTGTACAGATTGGTTCAGCTAAATGTACATTATGTATTAGTACAACACTTACCTTGTTTTCATAATTATTTACAAGCACAATTTGATATAAATTCATTTTTTTCAGACCCCAAAGCAGAGAAAAGTTATAAAAACATAATGTTAAATCTTCCTGTAAAAGATAAAAAAATATTTGACACTAAGACTCACAAACCAGATTCCTGATTTTATAATAGTACATGTCTATCTAGAAGTGTGTCCTATTCAAATTATTATACTCTAGCCTTCCTAGCTGTATTGTTCCCAAGTCAATGAAATGTAAGTACTTTTTTCTTAATTTATTTTTTAGTTGGACACAATATCTTTATTTATTATTTTTATGTGGTGCTGCGGATCAAACCCAGGGCCTTGCACATGCTAGGCAAGCGCTCTACCACTGAGCCACAACCCCAGCCCAAAGTACTTTTTCTTATGGGAGAGATTCATTGAACAATAAAGAAATATTAAGTCTTAGTTGGTTTACTCTCTCATATTCTGGAGGCTTGTGACAGTTTGAGTTCCATATATATATATATATATATATATATATATATATATATGGAGCAGAGCATTAAAATAAATTATTAAATTGCAGTCTATAAAATGTAGAATTATTTCTCTAAAATGTTGTATTTTTATTTCTTACAGAAAGAAGCAGCTTTGAATCAGAGCTTGATATTAAAAGAAGAAATGAAAAGCACCAGTTGGATTAGAAAGAACTGGCTTCTTGTAGCTGGGGTGTCTTTCATAGGTGTCCACCTTGGAACATACTTTATACAAAGGGCTGCAAAACAGTCCATAAAATCTCAGTCTGTAGGCAAACAAAAGAGTATTGAAGAATGAATTGAAATAAATGTTTGCAATTAATGATATGTCACTAAATCATATTCTGATAATCTTCAGAAACAAAACTATTTAATAGCCATATTGCTGCATATTCAGACCTTCATTTCTAAAGAATATATTTTTAATGTTAATACACATGACAATGCAGTAAACAGAAAAATATGGTTAATAAAATAAAAGCTGTCATCACAAGTTACAACTGAAGTAATATGTCTCGTTTAGAAGCTAAGAAACCCTCATTGTGTAAAAGTGAACCACTTACAAGTGATACAGTCAGAGCCACACTCTCTGTCCTAAAAGGAGTCTTAACATCTTGCTACGGCCCTTCAGGTAGGCTGAAGCAGCTGCACAACGGCCTGGGAGGTTATGTGTGCACAACATCACAGTCCTCAGCCCTGCTCAGTAACCTGTCAGTCACCCATCCCACATTAAAGATCCTGACAACTTCTGTGCAGAATCATGTGTCCTGCTTCAGTGACTGTGGCTTATTTACAGCCATTCTTTGCTGCAACCTGATTGAAAATGCCAAAAAAACAGATTTGACACCCACCACCGTCATTAAATTAAATAAACATCTTTTGAGTCTCTGCACTAATTATCTCAAGTCAGAGGCCTGTGGTTGTCGAATTCCAGTTGACTTTAGTAGTACTCAGATCCTCCTTTGTTTGGTTCGCAGTATTTTAAGGAGTAAGCCTGCCTGCATGCTCATCAGAAAGGAAGTAGATCACATCAGTGCTTTGATCCTGAGAGCCTTCTTGCTTACAATTCCAGAAAACACAGAAGAACATATCATTTTAGGAAAGAGTATAATTGTACCATTAAAAGGTCAGAAAGTTACAGATTCTACTGTATTACCTGGAATACTTATTGAAATGTCTGAAGCTCAATTAATGAGGATGTTACCTATCAAAAAATCAAGTGCCCTCAAGGTGGCACTCTTTTGTACATCTTTATCTGGAGACTTTTCTGACACTGGAGAGGGAACCCTGGTGGTCAGTTACAGGATGTCTCTTGAAAATGCAGCCCTGGACCAGTTGCTTAACCTAGGAAGGCAACTTATTAGTGACCACGTAGATCTTGTCCTGTGCCAAAAGGTTATACACCCATCTTTGAAACAGTTCCTCAGTATACATCACGTTATTGCCATAGACAGAGTTGGAGTGGCTTTGATGGAACCCCTGAGCAAAGTGACAGGTAAAAAGCACTCTTGACTTTTGCCCCTTAGAGTTAATAAATCATTTGTTTAAACAGAGAGTTTATTGGTTTGTGACACTGTTAACATCTTGAAAAATTGTAGAAGCTGCCAACCTCACAACATGTTGTGGGTATCATTTCTGACAGCAAAGGTTGTTTCTGGAAAAGATCCCCTGTTGTTCACTTAATAAACATGGAGCTGCTGTGGCCATTTTCTGTGTATTTTCAACCCAAAAGTATACTGCAGAGTCTTTCATAACCTAATTCCCCAATATTCTACAGATAATTGAGAAATTTGACATCATCATAAGGTCTTTCATACTTTACCCAAAATTTTTATACTACTTAACTTGCAAAGCTTTTAAATCATGTTACACTCAGAAGGTAATTTTATAACTGGGATACCACCTTTTCTTCACTTTTATTATAATGCCAATGGATTTCTGTACTTCTGCCCAAATAGTTGTTCCAAGCTGGGTGCAGGAAGGGTGCATGTGTGTACACACACATGTATGTTTTATCTTTAAGTATCAATATTTCCAGCTGAGCTCTTGAGAACCAAGGTCATTTACTCTGAACACTATAGCAGGCCTAGTTCATAGCAGGTGCTCCAGAATGTTTGCTGAACTGGTGGTAATATATGTTACCACCAATTAGGTAAAGAATTATAGTGGGCAGAAGAGTCATTGAGTGTCACAAATTGATCAAATTAAAAGCACTAGTATACCAGGTTCATATTCACCTGTTAGAGCCAAAGAAAAATAAGCTGAAGAGCTCCTGATTCATGCCACTTGTTTCAGTATTGCATTGACATCCTATCAGACAATCATTTAGTTCTGCATTGATTGCAATTCTTTTTGGAGGTGGAGGTCTTACTGTGTTCCCCATTGCTCATCTCAAACCCCTGGGCTCAAGTGATCCAACTCAGCCTCCCATATAGCTGGGACTACAGGTGTGCACCACTGTGCCCAGTCTGCAATTTTTAAGTTACTAAAGCATTGTTAAAGTTCACTATAGTCTTTTGTTACAGATAGTCAAAAAGCAGTATGTATGCCAAGCATTAAATATATCTCTGTTATTTACCTTTGTAAAACTGTCAAATGATCATCAAAGTGAAAAATTATTGAGAATAAATGGAAATAATTCTTTGGAACTCATTGCTGATGTTGTAGGTCAGACTCATATCCTTAAGTATCTACCAACTGTCCATGATCTGGCAGTTTACAGCTTATGAATATGGGCTATTCTGGCTTATTCAGTGTTTAAAGTATGGGACATTTTCCCATATTTCCACAATATTATAAATGGAGACTCAGTTTCCACACTAGTTCACTGTTGTTTTTTAACTCACATGTACCTAGAACATGGCTTTAAACATTTAATACCATCAGTTTAAGAAAGTTGACCCAAGGGGGTAAATTGCTCAGGGTGCAGTATAATATTCAAATGTTAAACTGGAATTTTTATTTTTTTAAAAGCTTGGTCTAGTTTTATTATATAAATTTAATTACATCTGGAGATTTTGCAAACTTTCAGTACATACTTCTCCCTTAATAACCTTATTTCTATTTGCAATTGTAAAATTTTACTGATTGCCTATGCAGTTGGAAGGATAAAATACTTAAGAACAACAAATTGAAATAAGTTACATTTTAGCATAATTTAAGTAGCTATTTACATAAAAATAGTTACTATGCCGAAATAAAAATCCTATATGTTCCCTAAATAGATACCCAAAGGAATTCAATTTCAGAACTATTTGGATAGTTTAATTCGTTTAAGATTGAGATGTAATGCCTTTAAAAAACATTCACATCACTCTTATTCCAGATTAGTGAGTTCTTTTTTTTATTATTATTATTTTATTATTTATTTATTATTATTTATTATTTTATTATTATTATTAGTTGTTCAAAACATTACATAGTTCTTGACATCATATTTTATACATTTGATTCAAGTGGGTTATGAACTCCCATTTTTACCCCGTATACAGATTGCAGAATCACATCGGTTACACATCCACGTTTTTACATATTGCCATACTAGTGTCTGTTGTATTCTGTTGCCTTTCCTATCCTCTACTATCCCCCCTCCCCTCCCCTCTCTTCCCCTCCCATCTTCTCTCTCTACCCCATCTACTGTAATTTATTTCTCTCCCTTGTTTTTTTTTCCCTTTCCCCTCACTTCCTCTTATATGTAATTTTGTATAACAATGAGGGTCTCCTTCCATTTCCATGCAATTTCCCTTCTCTCTCCCTTTGGTGATCTCTGAATGGGGTTTCAAGGTTCTTGGGCTTTTAAAAATGTATGCAAAATTTTGTGTGCCTGTCTCTGGCAAGAGCACAAAATAAATTCTAACAAATGTTCAAAGAAGTAAGTAAACCAAAAGAACCTTTGCTTTATTTGCATGTCATTTGAATAGATTACTAATAGAGGTTTAAGAAGATGCATTTTATTACTTTATCTCAAATTTAATATTTTAAATGATAAGCTTTTGTGGAATTTTTATATTGGCTAGGAATAAGAGTTAATTTATTTACATTTATTAATTTTAAATGGTTATTTGGTCCACCTTTGCTTAGACATTTTGTTTTCTATTCTTTTAAAAAAAAAAATACAGGAACACAACCTATTGGTTCCATAGGCTCCATATCTCCTAGTAGTTATGGAATTGTGAAAGAATTCTGCACTGCAAAATTTGGCTCCAAGCATTTTTTTCATCTTATTCCTAATGAAGCAACTATCTGCAGCTTGCTTCTCTGCAACAGAAATGACACTGCCTGGGATGAGCTGAAAGTAAGTAATAACTTTGAATTTCATATCCAAGGGCTGAGGCAGGGGTGAAATAGTCAGTCAACAGGTTCTCAATAGTTTTTTTCACATTAGTGAGCCATGCTTCTTAATTTTCCCCTCTTCCATAACTTCAGCAGGGTATACAAAGCAAGAACAAAAATGACAGAAGTGGGGGGCTGATTGTGAAGCTCAGTTGTTAAATATGTGCTATGTATAAAAAAAAAAGTTACAAGTAAGCTAATTTAATTGCAGTATTATGGTAGACTTGACACAGGTTGCCATTCCTTATTTCTGCTATTTACAAGAAATTTAAGAAGTCATTGATAGGAAATTTTCTTTTTCTTCCTTTCTTTTTCTTTTTCTTTTTTTTTTTAATATGATGGTGAGAATTGAATCGAGGGAGCACTCTACCATTGGACTGTATCCCCAGCCCTCACTTTTCCTTAAGAAATTAATTTGAATTGTGTACTCTTTGATGTGAACATATATGAATAATTCACTTCAAAAGTGAGTTCTTAAGTCAATACTATCATCCACCTCTTAGTAGAGTTTATTATTCTCTGCCAACAATACACATGCAACTTTTATTTAAGGGAAGTGATAAACTCTGATATCAATCACAAGTTTATAAAGTTTTATAAAGATTCATGTTTTATAAAGTTTATAAAGATTCCTTGGTGAATCAAAGTCTGTATGTTTTAAGTACCCACCAGTCTTGCTGACTCAGATGTTTTGAATCCCTATATTTATGAATCCTAATTTAAAGAGATCAATATATATGAAAAAATATTGATCTAACAGTATATTGATCTAATAAAAAATATTGATGAAAACAGACTTCTGGCTAAAGTAACTTTCTTCAGTCTCAAATCTTTATTATCCCAAAATGTATTCATCACATTACAACCTTGACCAAGCAGATTTCATTGTCAACTGAAATCGGACTCTTGTTAGTCCATGATGTATGTTATATTAAGAGCATGGTTGTATTTCTTCATGGATCTGGTGTGTCTGATTCAGACTTGATTCTTTTTTAGCTCACATGTCAAGCAGCACTGCACGTCTTGCAGTTAACAATCAAGGAACCATGGGCTTTGTTGGGAGGTGGATGTACAGAAACTCATTTGGCTGCATTTATTAGATACAAGGTAAGATTAATAGCCCTTTTAAAATTACCGAATTCTCAGCAACTTGTGTTCTGTGAGATGATAAGCCAAATCACCCTAAAACCATTCGTGCTTAATTATTCAGAAGCCTAACTTAGATATTATGTTTGAGAACCCTTGAGGAAAATAACATTATAAATATGAAATAAGATCTTTATTGCAATGATTATTGCAAATCTAATTCTTTAACAAATTACCCCATTTGAGTATTGTTTACATGGACTACATGTTGAAACTAGCATTCTATTTTGGAGACTTCTAATATTAAAGATCTTAACTACCAAAATTCAACACTAATTAATGTTAACAGCTAAAGGGCTGAGAATCCACAAAAATACTTCTGTATCTTCTGGGGCATCAAGGAAAAAACTTAATTTCATTTATTAAAGCATTTCAGATATTATATTTTACTATAGTTTTTATTTTGGTTTCTATATGGTGTGTATTAATTCTTTAATTTTTTATTGGCCTAGGAAACTCCATTTCCTGACAGTTGACAGATAAGTTTAGTGTAACATAGTTGTGAATAATTATTTTATAAGTCCTATCCTACTTCATTTAAAGATGAATACAAAAAGGTATACCTGTTTTTAATCAGCTTTTTCATTGCTGTGACCAAAACATCCAACAAGAACAAGATAGAGGAGGAAATGTTTATTTTGACATTCATGGTTTCAGAGGTCTAAATCCTAAAATGGTTGGCATCATAGCTCTGGGCCCAAGATTAAGGCAAACACTGTGTTTGAAGGGCTTGTGTGAGTTAGCTGGCCAGGCTTGGATCCCTTAACCTGATTGGTCATAGTAAAATTGCACACTTCCTGTCCTGGAGGAAGGCAGCTCAGGACATGGCAGTCAGGAAGCAGAAAGAGCTTCACTCACCAGAGACAAAATATAAACCCCAAAGGCAAGCCCCCAGTGACCAACATCCTTCAGCCACACCCTACCTGCCTACAGTTACCACCCCATTAATTCATATCAGTGAATTAATGCACTAACTAGAACTCAATCATTTCAATCTTCTCGCCCTTCTTTCATTGTTTCACACATGAACTTTTGAGGGACACCTAAACCAAAACTATGTGGTCTCCAGATATTGATAGTTGATTGACTGCATCAACCAGAATCACTGAGATGTTCTGCAGAGCTTCCAGTGAGTGATTAGAGTTGGAAAGAGAGTAAACTTTTCTTATAGACATGCCCTTCCCTACACTTCCCCTAGTAACTTAAAATCTATTTGAAGATAAAGCCAATTCATGAAAAGTTATCAAAATGCACATTATAAAAAACAAAATCCATGCCAATTAGTGATTCTGAGTGGACAATAATTTAATCTGCAAATGGAGCTGAGTAAACTGGACAAAGCGTTTTAGAGGAAGTATCTTGTTAAGGTTCTGGGGATGTGGGGGAAATATGTTCCAAAAAAAGAAGTAGTCACTGTTTTTTAGTAGTAGGGATATATGAACTTTTAAAATCATCATTCAGTTAGTTCACTATTATTTTTCTGTCTTAAGAAATTTCTACAATAATATTTTCAGAATAGTGAAACCAAAAAGCTGATTAAATCTTATTACCTTTTAAGAAAAATTGATGTGAAAATTGTCCGTTCCCCAAATGATGTCTTAGTAATATGTGCATTCTCATTTTAAGCAAATCTCAAACATTCTGATGATATGATAAGTACTTCATTTGGGACATTAGTCTTCAGGAACTTTCCTGAGTGCATAAAAACAAATATAAAACATGTATATGCCTTGACTTTTATATATTACATTAAGGCAATCATTCAGAATAAGCTGGTGGGGTTATTCTTATACATTTATTGTAGTAACAGGACAGGGAGTGTACAATTTTGCTATGACCAATCAGGTTAAGGGATCCAAGCCTAGCCAGCTGACTCACACAAGCCCATTAGAATTGTTGTCCAATCTTGTAGTAAATGAAGGTACATAGTAACTCTATGAATAAGACTTTGATCAAAGTATCTTATTTTTCTGAAATATTTTTATATTAATCACCCTGTATGTGTTCTCAATGGTTTATTACTCTTTAGGCTCGTAATGAACCAGAAAGCATTCTCACAGATGATGGGTGTACTCAAGCAGAACTTCAACTAGTTGCTGAAGCATTTTGCAGTGCTCTCGAGTCTCTTGCTGGCTCTTTAGAGCATGATGGAGGTGAAATTGTCACTGATATGAAGTATGGACACTTTTGGTCAGTTCAGGGAGATTGTCCCTCTGTTGTCAACTGGCCAGATTTACTTTCACGATGTGGTTGTGGATTATACAGTAGCCAGGAAGAACTCAGCTGGTCTTTCTTACGAAGCTCATGCCATCCTTTTGCACCACAATCCTGCCTTCCACATGAAACTGTGGGCCCAGCTAGCAATCTGACTCTGGACTGTTTGACTGCTAAGCTTAGTGGCCTACAGGTGGCTGTAGAGACAGCCAATTTGATTTTAGATCTTTCATATGTCATCGAAGATAAAAACTGATATAAGAGAATCACATATTTATATTATGAGACAAATAAACTTGTCAGATATCAATTAAGAAAAATCCCAAAAAAACAAATGCCAAATGTCTTCTGTGATATAAGGGGGGTGACTCAAAATGGGGTAGGGAGGAAGAGCATGAGAAGAAAATTACCTCCAGATAGGGAAAAGAGGTGGGAGGGAAAGGGAGGGGAAAGGGAATTGCATGGAAGATGGAAGGAGACCCTCATGGTTATAAAAATACATGTATGACGATGTGAGAAAAAAAAAAAGAATTGTGTCATATTCGATTGGGTAGAGAGAAATGATGGGAGGGGAGGGGAGGGGAAGGGGGGAAAGGAAGGACAGCAGAATAAAATAGACATTATTATTGCTGTGTGTATATATGTGACTACATGACCAATATGATTCTGCAACCTGTACACTCAGAAAAATGAGAAATTATATCCCATCTGATTCAAATGTATGATATCAAGGTCATTGTACTGTCATGTGTAACTAATTAAAACAAATAAAACATTTTTAAAAATATATAAAAAAACAAAACAAAAAACAACAAAAAAAATTGCCAAACAAAAAAGAAAAATAGTGAGTGGATTGTTCTCTAAAGGCCTGTTCTGTATATATAGACAAATGACTCATAAAATTATAGACATACTTACTTAAGGTATGATTCTTGATTAGAAATATCACAGAATAATAACAATCTTAAGCATTATTAAAGATGTTGTAGTAATCTTAGGGATTCCACAGGGACTACTGTACATTGTTCCAAATTTTTATTATTATTGTTTTAACATCATTCTAAGAACATACAGAAATAAAAAAAATTCCTAATTCTTGTTATAGTTTGTGTATACTTATTATAAATATTTTACAATGAATAGCAATTGCATATGCTTAAAATATAAAATTAAATTATAAAATATCATAAAGCATCCAGTCCATGTAGCTCATTCAAAAGAAGTATTAGGCCAGGTGCAGTGGCACACGCCTGTAAATCCCAATGGCTTGGGAGGCTGAGGCAGAAGGATCAAGAGTTCAAAGCCAGCCTCAACAAAAAGCGAGGCACTAAGCAATTCAGTGAGATCCTGTCTCTAAATAAAATACAAAATGGGGCCAGGGATGTGGCTCAGTGGTTGAGTGCCCCTGAGTTCAATCTCTGGTACCCCCCCCCCCCAAAAAAAAAGTGTTAAACTGCACACTTAGTGAAATTTCACTTTTCTCAGTTCCCTTTATCTCAGACTCTGTTACTCAGTGGTTAAGTAATTGAATTAGAAGCTAGTTTGCCTTAAGTTGCTGGTTTGTATTCACAGCTCCACATTTTTGTTATTTTAAGGAAATGTGTGATTAGGGGGAAAAGTCAGTTTATATAATAGCTAAGACTAAAACAACTTTGTAATGTCTTCATGTTTAAAGTGGGAGGAAGAACTGATTTGTTTTTAGAGCAGAGTTTCCCAGCCTTCCTGCTATTGACATTCTAAACCAGATAATTATTATTTCCCCCAGTACTGGAGATTGAACATGGGCCTCACAGGCCTCACATATACTATGCAGGCACTCTCCCACTGAGCTATATCCCCGATCCCTAAATCAGATACTTCTTTAACCTGCAGGGTTGTCCTATGTATTACAGAATGTTTAACAGCACCCCAGCCTCCATTCACTAAATGCCAATATCACACCCAAGTTTAAAACCAAAATGTGTCCAGATATTGCCTAATTTCTCCTGGGAAAGCAAAACTGTCCTTGGCTGAAAACCACTCTTCTAGACTGATACAAAAAGAAAGAAGCAGAGGAGGAGAAGAAGGAGTATCCTACCAAGACTTCAGAAAGCAGCATAGAGAAAGGAATGGGAGTTATTTCTCTAGTTCAGTCAATGATGCAAAAAAGTAACTAGAACAGCTCCTATATTCAAAGTAGAGACTCTGATATTTCACCAAGGAACGTAATTTGAATTTTAAGCAAATTCAAGGTATATTGATAAAGATGAAATAGAGAATCCAACTAGAAGAGTAAATATTTATCCATAACAGATATATTAAACTTAAGAAAACATTTTGAAAATTTGGGGAAAATTAAAAGTCAATGATAAGATCTCTAGCCATAATAAAAGGAAATAGAATTTTTAAGCAACTTCCTCCAATATTATAATCAGAAATAATTTTTATCCTAACCCAAAGAAAAATTTGTGATACAGACTTACAGCAATGCTATATATATTTAAAAAGCAGCTACAACTTAAACTTCATAAAATAGTTTTCTAAAGTTATACTCCTTTTATTATTAAAATTAAATAGAAGGACAGCAGTGAGTGAGGCAGCCTTTAAGGTAGCCCCCAGGGATTCCCTCCTAGTTTTCAGGCCTTTACATAATTCCTTCCCCTGAGTATGGGCTGGATTTAATGACTCTTTGGTATCTACCACATGTCCACTTTGTGAACAATAGTATCTATGGCAGTTATCCTATATCTATCCATCATTCTGTGCTGGGAATGGAGGGCAGTAACTTCCTCTTTAACTTCATGGGTCTACGCATGGAAAGGAACTGTGATCTTAGAGTTGTATTTTTAAAACTACATCTGAGTAGCCTCAGATACACTGACCTCCTTTCAGTAATGAGATTCTGGACTTTGAGTTGATGTGGTAATGCAGCAAGACTCTGAGGTATCTGGGAAAGGGGTGAGTATATTTTGCATGGGGTATGCAGCTTCTGAGGTAATCTCACCTCCTGGTGGTCTGCCCTTTGAGTCTAGATGGGGCTTAGTGACCAACTTCTCATGAGCAGAGTACAGTAGAGGTGATGAGATGTCACTTCTGATATCAGGTTGTAGAAATAGCAGCTTCTCTCTGGATTCCTCACTCTCTCACTCTGAAGGATGCCATCTGCCATCAAGGAAACTATACAGCAAGAGTTCAGGGATGCTTCTAACCAACAGCCCACAAGGAACTAAATGCTATCAACAACCTGAAAAGTGAATTTGGAAGCACAGTCTCCCTACTGGGACCTGGAAATGCTTTTTAGGCCTCAGAGGATCTAGCAAAGCCAGTCCTGCCACCAAAAGGGAGTCCAAGGAGATCTCTCCAAAGACAGAAGATATTTATCTAGTGAGCCAGTTTGGAAGATATAACTGAGGACAACAGGTCCCTGGTGAGAGATCTGATGTGCCCTTCTTGCACTCTCATAAGAATCTGTAACTTAGCCAGGCGTGGTGGCACATACCTATAATCCCAGCAACTTGGGAGGCTGAGGTTAGTTCCTTCCACCCAGCAATTTAAGGACCATATAGGTGACTGCTGATGTCATAATACGGGTTTAACTGAGAACTGCAGTTACAAGTTAAGCAAGAGTTCACTGTTCTCCCCCTCCTTTTTCTTTTCTCCTGGCTATCTTTATCCCTTTATTTCTCTCCTAAAACACCTGCAGATTTGGAATATAGAATATGGGAATTGCCCTGATTCTCCGGGACCCTAAATTGCATTTCCAAGTTGTTCCAAGAAGAGGTAACACAAGGTACCTCTCTAATTGACTCTATCAAGTAGGGTCTACACTTTCCACTATAGCCACTTTTACCTCTGTCATTTTAAGCTTTGTCATAAAATTTGATATATTCCTTGAGGAAACACCAATGTTCTCATTTTAAATATGTCAGAAATGCATTGAAATATTTTTATAAATCCATTTGTGTTTTGTGTAATTATTATTAGAAAATGCTAGAAATGTGGCTGGACAGGGTAATATATGCCTGTTGTCCTAGCTACTCAGAGGTGAGGCAAAAGAATTGCTTAAGCCCAGAATTTGGAGGCCAGCCTAGGCAAAATAGCAAGCCCTGACTCAAAAAAGAAAATACTAGAAATGAAAAAGAACAACTTCCTTGATAGTTCAAGAAAATCACCACTCAAACTCAGATGGGTAAAATGTAAGATGAGAATTCTTGGAAATAATTTCACAGGCGTTTTTAGTGGCAGGAATAAAATGACAAGAAAAAATAGTCACTAATTAAGACTCGGCCACTGTTTTATGACTTACAATTAAGATTGAAGTCTGTATGTTGCTTCATGAGATACCTCAGGATACAGAAACGGAAGTGCTATGGGCTATAAAAAGGAAAGGGAGAGTCACATGGAAAATAATAAAGTTGGGGGCAGCTGATTTGGACTTTTGCAGAACTCATAGGACATGCAGCATTAAAGTTTATTGAACCAGAGGAGTACAAAATGATTCGCATCTTATTAAATAAAATAGATTAGGATTTTGACAGCAAAGGAACAAGTAAAGAACTAAAAAAAAATTATAGGGGAATTTTAACTCAAAAACTTATTTGGTCTTATAGATATTCCACTGTTTAGTTCTCCCATTTGCGCTACATTAGAAAATCTTTATATGTTAGACATGTTAACCACAGTAGTGAAATATTTCATACAAGATATTTAAATTATAGGTTATTATTATATTTTATTATCCTAGGTCTTCTTGAACTCACTAGGTTGTATAATCAAACCTGTTCAGGCATTCATATAATAGAAGAGAAATTTTAAGAACTTCTGTAACAGCTCTCATACTCTAGATTCTTATATTGTTCAACAGTTCTTTAGACGACTTTAAAAAAATAATATTATTTGCAGTCACATAAGCCATCAAGGTTATTATTTAAGAGTATCATGTACAAGAATCACTCTCATAATCAAAGCAGGGCCTGTCAAAACATCCAGATGGTTTATTCCTTTCTAATAATCTTTGGGGAGTAGTCAAGAAGACAAAACATCTCTTATAGGGGCCTGTTTCAGCTGTATAAATAAAAATCCCTCAATCAGAAGGAAAAGGCAGTTTTGAATATCTGATAACTTCATATTTTTTTCATGTAGTTAGGTGTTTACATTGAGTAATCATGGTATTCCATAATCCTTACAAATTTTTTGTCTGGCCTCAGATAGGCCAGACAAAATCTCTACCCCGAGCTATACAGCTATACCAGAGGGAGTCCTTCTTACTTTTTTTTTTTTTTTTTTTTGGAGGCAGGCTCTCAGTAAGTTACACAGGTTAGCTTTAAACTTGCCATTCTCCTGACTCACCTTCCTGAGTAGCTGAGATTACAGGTGTGCAACACCATGCCCAGTTAATCCTTGGAAATTTTTGCCACTCACCTACAAAATTCAAAATTAGATGTCTCTAAACCCAATAATAACCTCTATTTTGGATTATAAGTAGATATATGTGCTTCTTTATTAAGAATATAGAAATGCTCTTAAAGAATGCATTCCTTCTAAACCTATTTAGTGGAAAATCTTTTGTTTGCCAGAAAGAATGGTCAATGGTATTGGAAGTAAAGAGCAACAAGCAAACAAAAAAGTCTTCTGTTGAAGAAATGATTGGTTAGACTCAGGTGCACTAAAAACCATAGAATATTACTCTCTGTAATAAGTTGTAAACATAGCAGGGAATAAACAGCTTGGCAATTGCCTGTTAAAAATTCACACTGAGGATATATTTCTAGTAAGCATCCTAGGTTAGCCATATAGCCCTCACCCCTCCAGAACTGTGGATCAAACCCAGGGTCTCATACATGTCAGGCAAGCACTTCACCAATGAGCTGTACTCCCAGCCCTTTTTAGTTAATAAATCTATCTGTCTATCTATCTATCTATCTATCTATCTATCTATCTATCTATTTTTGAGGCAGGGGCTCACTAAATTGCCCAGGTTGGCCTTGAACTTGCCATCCTTGGGCCTCAGCCTCCTGAGTAGATGGGATTATAGGTGTGTACCACCATATTTACTGGCTAGTCCTATAGATGTAGTTTGAAGTATTGTGATTTCATTTGGGAAAGTTTTTATTGAGTTCTTTT